AATATGACGTTCACTGAGCTATTGGTCACTACCCAATATGCACGTGCGTCAGCTAACCATTTAATAGTCAGAGACACTCGGACTGCATCTAGAGGCTAGGCCTGGGAGGGGTGTGCTGTCTTCCGTGAAAGTTTTGAATTCGTCTCAGACTATCTCCCAGAAGATCAAAATGATCTCTCCGAGTCTGTGGATAGGGTTAGAGTTTCTCCAAATAACCAAAGTGCCTTGTTAATGAATTATGTAAATAGATGTAAGTGATATTTGTAAGAACTGAATATTGTTTAAGATGTTCTACAATTGAGAATGTTATTTGTGATGATGATATTAAATGTGATATACACGTGTAAAGGCATCTGTACTGTGACTTTCATTGGCTGTATTCGTTAGAGTACAATCCAACCAAATCGCTGCATTTCGTGATACAAGAAAGGTGGTTAATGCAGTCATGGTATTAGACGCAGTTGAAATTGTAGTGAGGTTGTGAACATGAAGTAAAGAAGATTCATTGGGTCACTCTTCACCTGTACTCTGTCTATCTGGCCATTGGCTATAGGTTTATTCCCCTTTAATATCATCGACTGATCCAGTAGATATTGAGAGAACGGTACCCATCTTAGTTTTAACAGTCAGTTCATTTAATAATTAGTAATTGTGCATATCAAAGCCATTATTGGCCCCGCTACACATTAACAGACTAGAAAACCTCTTTACAACCCCTTCATCTTCTCGATATTAAGCTATGACGAACTGCATCTAATACCTTGACCGCGGTAGCCACCTGTTTTGAATCATAGAAGTAAAAAGCACCAATCAATGCATCGACAGAAACTCAACAAATTAGCATGTAATGTTTAAAGTAATAATGTCGATGTTGTATTCACTAGCGGAAAATTTAATCAAATCACTGCATTCCGTAATACAAGACATGAGCCTTATGAAGTCAAGGTATTAGACGCAGTTCGTAATAGTTTGACATCGAGAAGATACACCCCTTTAAGTGTCTAGTGTCAAACTACAAAATTTGTAATAATTGTAAAGAGGGAAATAGACTATATAATACGAGTATTAAAAAATAACATTGTTTGATTTTTTATCTTTGATTTATTGGGCGAGCCTTTAGGGGAAGTAAGAATTGATTGTAATAGTTACTGGGTGTTGATTTGTTGACAAGAAGAAACTCCCCCAGGTCATCATGGCACAACTAATACCTGTACTAAAAAAAGTATTGTTTTATGTTTAAAAGATCACTGTAACTTCAGTGGCGCTTCAATGAATAATAGAGTGAGAGAGAGAGGGTGTGTGGGTGGGGGTTCGGGGTATTTTAGGGGACACTTTACCGATGTTAAATAATAAGAAAATAGAAAGTGGCCCAGCCTCAGATATCACGCCCCTTACACCCAAATGTATTATATCATACAACTGATGATCATCATGTAAATTGTTGAAACGCTGTTTACAATAAAATAAAACCTATAAGAAGCTAACATTTCCATTATCTAATTTCATCTCTACCCCTAAATATCAACTTTTCAACTTTTAGTCTCTAGAATAGCAGGTTTCGGACTAACCTACTGATGACGATATCAAACTAATGATTTTCGACTAGTTTTAGATTATTTGGCTATGAAAGTGCAAGTTGTCAATTCACCGTGCAGATCGGCCAATATCTGGAGGGCAATGTAAGCCAGGGGTAAACAAATCAAACCCTGGTATTGTTGACAAGGGGACGACAATATACCAACTGTGTTGAAAGTTATCGACCGATGTATAACCGACTGACAGTGACTAGATAGTGTAGGTTTAGTATAGAAACAGCATGGCAATATCTCAACCTATTTTATTAGCTCTCTACCTAGTGTGTATCGTCACCCAACATATTGTAGTGCTCTGTGTAAATTTGGACGGGTCCCAGGATGATTTCGACACGGAAGGATTCCCAGGTGTTCAGTATGAATTCAAACTTCAAGTTGAAGCCGGAACCGAGGAGTGCTTTTATCAGAAAATTTCTAAAGGTTCCAAACTACACGTGTCATTTGAGGTAAACATTTTATTTTTTTCTTTTACCAAACTTTTTAATGTATTTGATCAAATCGAATAAAGTGTTACGTTTTACTCTCTTGAAAATATTGTTTCTGGACAAGTAATAATTTCGGGCTACTTCATCTTCTGTAGTTCTATATTTATCTATCTTTCTATGCCCTACTTTTAAATCAATCATTGAAAGGTTTGGGAGGGGGGGGCGGGGGGGGGGGGGTAA